GTGGTAAGTCTTCAGACCTGAAGAGGTATTGTTTGAGGAGTCGATTGGCGGCCACAACGGGAACAGTGTTTCCGGTGTTGAGTCGATGCAACTCCAGCTGCGATGATATCATTCGCGTAACCATTTCCGTGTCGGCAGCGGTTCCGGCGCCACAACAATACATATTCGCCGCCAAGTAATGGATTTTCTCGCAGTTCTTGTCGGCGATGATTGTGTCGGACGTCGCTCTCGTGTCCGCACCTAAGATGACGCCATCGCCGAAGACAATGCCCGCGATTGTGGTCCCGGTTTTGGTCACTTTAGGCAATGGGAAGCCCTTCGCGCACAACATCTCATTCCTGTCCACCAAATGAGACAAATAGACAATCAGTTAATAAGACAATGAGTGCAGAGTTGGTCACCAATTGGTGACATCATGTGAGACACAAACCTCTGATAGTTTTCAAACGAAAAGCCGCCGATCGGTAGCTCCGGACACACTCCCGCCAAAGACATTGCGATTAATTGGTGGCAATCAGTGAGACAATCAAAGAGATGATTACAACGTGAGACCAATTGAAGTGACAATTGAAACAAATGTCTGTTCAATGACTTTGCAATTCAAACACTCGTTTGGGTCTCACATCTAAAACGTCGACAAATGATAAAAGTTTTGAAAACTTTGACAAAAAGTTTTTTCACTCAAATTTGAAGCGCTTTTATGCGAAATATAATTATAATAAATTAAATTATTATTTATTGTAATCAATTACCATTAACAATTATTATTTAATTAGTCGTATATTTATTTGTTTCTGTTTCCCGTGTAATTAAACAAAATATTAATAATTATTAGGTTTTAAATTCAAAAAATTATATGATTTGTTATAATATTTACTATTTTATTAAAAAACAAATTTTATATCACATGTTATATTGAGTTTAATCTATGAGTTAATACATTACTCATAAAAAAATCACAAATAGTTGGAAAAATCTTTAAATATTAATCATATTATGATGATTACGAACTGCCGTATGAAATGCAGTGATAGATCTGAGCAAATTATCCCAAACGGTTCGCAGTCTACAAAATTTAAATATTAAAAATATTAGAAATTAATTAAATAATATTTTATTATCTAATCTAATGGAGCAAAATGTTAGTGAGAATTGTGTGCACATACATAATGGGATGGTAGAATATGAGAATATCGTAGAAATGAATGCAAACGACAAACAAATTCTTGAATGAAAACTATATTTTATTTTCAATTGATATTGAATTGATTGATTCAAACAAATGAATGAACACATAATGAATGAATGAATTTGAAGGACCATCGGTGCAAATGTATGTAGTAATGGGTATATTAGTGGACAGTTAAATGATTGTAGCGATAAGTGGTGACAGACGTGCGGATATGCGACCATAACTTAAATACACTGAACACATGATTAAATACTATGAATACGACTGTAGTGTTAGTCATACCTGTCATACGTGTTGGGCTGCATGTGAAAGATATCGTTGTTATATGTCTGGAAGAATAGGTTACTCAACGATGTGCACAACTCTAGTGTACTCTTGGGATCCGATGGCTGTACTCTTCTCGCC